TCACTGAGCAACATCTGTGCCTCCTGATAGCTAAAATGGAAGACATGAGAGTCCAGGAGATGTAGGTGCAAAGACAATAACTGTGAACTTTAGACATTATGGGTTAAATGTAAATGTGTCTTCCAGTGTTGGAGAGAAACTGAGAGTTAGTCCAAATGACTCAAAGTTATCCTTAAAATGTTTCAGAACTTTTATGGTGGTGGTATGGTGCCTCATTAGGTAGCATTGTTGCCTTGTACCTCCATGGTGTGGGGTTTGCATCCTACCGCTTATCTGTGTGTGTGTGTGTGTGTGTGTGTGTGTGTGTGTGTGGATGTTCTCCTCATGTATGAGTTTCCTTCTGGTTTTTTCTGACAGGCCAAAGATATAGTTAGGCGAACTGGTATCTATAAGTTACACATGGTGTGTGTGTGTGCGCATGTGCGTGCGTGTGTGCGCATGTGTGTGTGTGTGCACGCACCCTGTGCTCCCCTGGTGGGGTCTCCAGGCCCCCTGTGACCTTGTACTGGATAAATAGAGGCAAGAAGATGTTTGAATCCACGGCAAGAATGACCTCAGTGGTCCAGAAAACTGGTGTTTCTCCTTGTTAGCAGATCCTTCTATGGAAGACTTCTTCCATAACATTTGAGGCTTATTACTACAGTCTGAAATTTTCAGAGGGATGATTGGAGGATAGGCTTCTCAGAATGGGACGTCCAGTTCCTGAGTCCCCAAGACGTGGAGGTACAATGTTCCAGTTAAAAAAAAAACATAAGCAGTTTGTGCGAGTGAGAGCTGTGGGAGTGAGGAATGGATCTGTGACGCAGGTCCACATGCTGCTGGGACAGGACGGGTGCTTCTTTGAGGAGCAGGAATGTGCTGGGGGCAGAGGGAGAGTGGTTTGCATCACGCACATGAAGTTCCCACTGAGGAGGAGAACCGTGGCATTCACAGGCTGTGAAACTGCGCTGCTGGGTGACGTAAGACCGGGACCAAGCATCTGGATCTCAGTAAAGCAACTTCCTGGGTCTCAAGGCTTCTCCGGGAGGTTCTGCTAAACAGTCGGACCTAAGGCTTGGGGGGAGAGCGTTCAGAGGGTGGGGCCGTGGTGCAGAGCGACTCTGGGGTGTCCAGCCAACAGAAGGCCACTCGCTTCCGTCGCCGGACAGGAAGCCGCCCAGACTGTTGGCACCTTCGACAGGGAATATGAACGTGTCTTTTCACTTGCACTTGCTTCCCAGTTTCCACGTAAAGCTGACAGTGCGCTGCAGCTCAGAGGCAGTCCAGCTATATACAGTATTTGCTGAACCCAGTGTCTGTGATTGCATTTTCCAGTGCTGTTTTCCAGTGGGATCTCCCAGCTGCGTACGTAAATTCACACGAAGCATATGGATGTTAAATCAGACTTTCCAGGTTATATAATACCGTAAGATATTTAAATCGGGAGACTTATTAGATGTGTGTGAGTGGGCGATCGCCTAGGCCCTGCAGTTTGTGCTCAACGAGGCAGGAGGAAGGTGGCTGCTTTTCTTGGAAAGCTCTCTCGACCTGCACCTTATTTCCTGGTATTTAACTGTGTGATAACACTGCACTGTACAGTATGTGGCCCAGTCTCCGGCTCCAGTGACTGAATGGAGCAATAACAAAGCAGTTATCCCCTTGTCAGACTTTGCATCATTAATTTCTGTGTGCGGCTGTTTAGTATTGCACTTGCTTAGCTGTATTTTATAACTGCCAAACTAACAGCATGTGAAACGTCGCTGAATACTTCTGTACTAGAGCTGGCCCTTAGATATGAGGTCGTCCTGGAACTGAAACAGCCCCTCAGCCACTGTGCCGCCTGCTGATTGGCCGTTTACCTCTATGTCCTCCAGACGACCTCGTGTGATCTAAATGGTTGCTGTACCTTTAATGGAGCAGACAGCAGGCACCTAGAACCAAATTTCATGCTTTAAATTGCTTTATGTTCCATATTTTAGTGGCTGCCTTTTAGTTCCATTACTTCCCCACATTCTTTTCGTGTATTCAGTTATTTATTTTAATTGTTTAGTAGACAGTTTCTCGCAGTGACCTACCTAGTTCGCAGTTCTCTGCTTGCCCCGTTCAACAACTGGATATTTTTACTGCATCAAATCAGGACACCTACACCTGTCATGGTCCGTGCCATTAATCACCAGAATTCCGGCAACTTTTAGAATTCAGAATGTTATTTTTATAACTTTTCTGGGAATTTATGGGACACGGATTGTTTTGGTGTTACTGTTTGCACTTGTGCCGAACTTCACAGAAACGGATAAATTCTGGGGAGGGGAGGTTATGGCAGTGTTGGCAGTGTGGCCCCCCCCTTCCGGCCAGCGGGACAGCGGTGTTTGTTTTGGTCCCATTGAGGCTTTTTTCTTTACGGCCTTTGGCAGGGCCCTTGATGCTCTCATTGCCTTGCCTGCAGTGTGGCACTCACTTCAGACGCACTTTGTGTTTGCACTGGGGCCGTCCGGCCCACAAGACCGATAGCGGCTGCTGCTTTTTCTCTTTCTTTTAAAGATCACAGCCCCGACTATATATCAGCACCTCCTGCAGGAGCTTTTTGCTGAACAATGCGGCTGGGCTGAGATCACCTCTCCCTCCTCACCGGGGGCCCGATTTCAGGATGATGCGGCAGCGGCATCACGTTATATACGCTTTATGTCCTTGCGGACTTGGGGATGATGGGGCGGCTGGGGTCTGACAGCCAGGTGAAAAGACCCAGAAAAAGCCATGGTTACCCTTTGATGTTGGCTTGAAAACCACGCTAGGAAACTGATCCCCTTGTACTCACTCGTACATGACTGACGGTATAGTAATTGTACCCACTTTTGCATGCTGTAAAGACGCATCAAATTAGGGAATCTATCATGTTACAGAAAGCCCCGCCCCAAAAGGCGACTCATTACAATTTGTCAAGGTACGACTGTCGGTGGATGAATCGGAGTCTGCGAGTCATCAGGCTTTATGACAGTGAAGAAAAGGCCCAAGTCCGGCTCATCAGGACTGATGGTAATCCTTATAAGCACTGTAGAAACTGCGTGAAGCTTGTTGAAAATACGAATATTTCTTTGGTTTCAGTGTTTTATTTTTTTTACATGAGTCTTGGTGCGCTAATAATAGAATATGTGTAGTATTGTATGTTGTGGACACCCAGGGTAAATACTGATCAGGTTTTTTAGATTTACCCAACCTCCTTTGCAAACACACGCGCGCACACACACACACACACACACACACACACACACCTGTACTCATATCTTTGTGGGGACCATCCACTCATTTCTATGGGCAAAACCCTAATCCCAACAATGACAACCTTAACCCCTACCCAGCCCTAACCAGAAGTAACGAACCAAAATGCAAGTATTTTGGCATTTTTAGTTTTTTTATCGCAGGATTCTTATAAAATTGAATTTCCTGAAGAAATGGTCCCCACAATGTCAAAATAACAGGTTTTTTATTACATTGTAGGGACATTTGGTCCCCACAATAGATACATAACCCCCCCCCACCCACACATACACACACACATGCACACACATTCCAGCTTGGATTGGATTCGGTCGAAAAGCACTGAAATCTGCTGTGCTGGGACATTGCTGCTGATGAAGTCTTGTTGTGTTTAATTACAGCTCTTCCTCTGGTCACTCGAGTCTCATCCAGCCGCTTTGGCTGCGTAGCGCTTCACTGCGAATGTAAACCGTGTCCACGCCGCGCTCTGATCACCGAGACGGCCTCCAGTGGGTAGATCCTGCCGCCGTAATTAAAAGCAGGCTTATTGAAAGCGCTTTGATTTACAGAATTAGCGGCACTTTAATTCCTGGCTCTGCGTTCAAAGCGGCTCATGAACCGTGTTCTGGTTCGTAAGCGGACCCGGTGGCAGAGGGTTCGATGAACCGGTTTCGGCTCCCCCTGGGTCACAGTCTGCGACTCCGGCTGCACCACAGCCTGGCTTTAAAACAAAAGACGTTTTATTTAAGCGGGGGAGTCTGTGAAGGGTTTGCCGTGCCTGTGGCGACACTTTAGGAAAATGTATACATGCACACACCCTAACAATGTATGAACACAGTCACACACAGGCACACAGTCACACACAGTCACACAGGTACACACAGTCACACAGGCACACACTTCATCAGCTGGCTATCGCCACCCTACCTGAAATCTGGCCCCACCAATGTGTGATAAACCCGTGCTGTTGTTCCCCTGTTTGTTCAGTTATCTCAGAACGAAAACCACAACCTAAGGCTAAACGACTCGCCTGCATTAACCCCAGACGACAGTTTGACAAAAGACAGAATCTGAGAGCCCCTCCTCCCTACTGTCGTCTTTTTTTCCAAACGATGCTGGTCCATCGCTTCCCTCACGTCTTGAGGATTGATTCACCTGGGTCATGGTTATAGACAAAAGCACATTGTCTGTCTGTATCGGGTTGCATTTAAATTCTACAGCCATTTATTCAGTCCAGCTTTGTGGGCATTTAAACTATGTTTCATTTATTTCATTTTTTTTATCAAAGTTTACCACCATTTCCTGTTTACAGCATAGTATCGAGCAGATTCTGTTGCATTCTGAGTAAAGTATCTCCGAGTGGTGAAAGTGTAACTTAGGACAGATTTATAACCACTGCAGCAGAATCCCATGTTTGGGCTGGGAGTCGTCCTTCCCAGCTGTCAGATGCGATTAGGTGCCCTTCTTCAGAGGTCGCTCCCTTCTGGTCAGTTGGCTCTGGAGATGAATATTTATTCCCTCGGCTGAGTCGGATAAAGTTGGGCGTTTTTAGCGAAGACGTGTGCGGCTAACGCACAGGTACGCTGGTGAGAAAAGCCCAGGGCACAACAGCCTTTATAAGCCTTTATAAGCCTTTATAAGCCTTTATAAGCTTCAAACTGCCCTGAGATGCTGGATGCTGTGCTGCATCTGCTTGTAAGTAGCCCTGTCCTGTAAGCCCTGTCCTGTAAGCCCTGTCCTGTAAGCCCTGTCCTTTCCCCCTGCAGATTCAAAGCACCGCTGAAGGTCGTGCATGAACAGAGACTGACCATCCCAGGAGCTGTCTTGCCGCCGTGAGAGCCAGAGACGGACAGATCTGCTGGGCCTTTTCCTCATTCCCGGCAATACCCAGGGCTCCAATGCCCAGGTAGCTGCCCGCTCAGAGGAAGAGGAGGAAGGGGGACAACCACAGGCACGTCAGAGACACCCAAAGGCTTCCATTAAGGACCCACGTCTTACACATGGCCACTAGTGGACAGTGAGCATGGGTGAGCTCCCCCTGCTGGTCGCTGTGTTTTTGGCGGTCGCCCTGGTCTGTGTGGCGACAGAAGACGACGTCACCCCCCGCCTGAGCTTCCTATACGGTAAGTGGGGGCAGCCTTCGCCCATCCCCCCACGTCTCCGTTCAGTTGTTTGGCTGCTACTGGCGTTTGTTTGATCAGAGCTTAGCCCTGTCTGGCGAGTACCCCCCCCCCCCCCCCACCCTGTCACGTGTCCTGCTGGGGTCTCCAGAGGTGCTCCAGCATGAGCTGCAGTGTTGACAGCTGCAGAAAAGCTGTGGCACGATTTTCTCACGTGGCGTCTCGCGCAGAACTGACACTTCCTAAAAACGAGCAGGGGATGGGTGACAGTGAGGGTGGCAGAACCTTCCGTTCAGGTACCGCAAAAGGCTCTGAAACACGGATCTGGAGCTCTCCACTTATACAAGCGTTTCTGTGGAAACCCTCAGACTGTCTGCTGTTAGGGAGGCTTCAGGCTGCCTTTTCGGGTTGGTGTCCCCCCCGCGGTGTCCCCCCCGCAATGGAAACCACATCGCTCACTGCAAATGACTGTTCTTACCAGGCCTAGTGAGCTGTGGTGGTTTTGTCAGCTAGATGAGCTAACTGTGATCTGAGTTAACTAGCTAGTAAAATGCAAGTGCATGGGGGGGGTAATTAAATAAAACCCATCGCTGCTGTTTCTGTTTGCATGGCCTGGGTGAAGCCCTGATGGTGTAGAAACCAGTCAGATTGTCTAAGAATGTTTTTTTTGTTGTTGTTAATGTAGGCATGAGAGCAGCCGCTTTAACCGATAAGAGCTTAATGAGCGGGAAAAGTGCATAATAACTGCGACGGAAACTGCAAGGAGCTAATGCATGCTAAGATGCCCCTGTGGCTAAACTGCGTCTAATGGAGCCGCAGGCCGCTTCTAATGGCTCCCGGAAGCCCAGTCAGCCGAGGGCAGCAGCTTGGTGGGTCTCGGTGCAGATGCAAGCGGGGGGCCTGTGCATCGCAGGCCTGCAGCTCTCACTTTGGCGGCCTGTGCATCGTAGCCCTGCAGCTCTCACTTTCGGGGCCTGTGCATCGCAGCCCTGCAGCTCTCACTTTGGCGGCCTGTGCATTGCAGCCCTGCAGCTCTCACTTTGGGGGCCTGTGCATCGCAGCTCTCACTTTGGGGGCCTGTGCATCGCAGCTCTCACTTTGGGGGCCTGTGCATCGCAGCCCTGCAGCTCTCACTTTGGGGGCCTGTGCATTGCAGCCCTGCAGCTCTCACTTTGGGGGCCTGTGCATCGCAGCTCTCACTTTGGCGGCCTGTGCATTGCAGCCCTGCAGCTCTCACTTTGGGGGCCTGTGCATCGCAGCCCTGCAGCTCTCACTTTGGGGGCCTGTGCATCGCAGCCCTGCGCGCTCGTGCCTCTCTCCCGCATTAATAATGCTGGCCAGGATTCTCCTCACTTGTCACACTCCACAAAAAGCAGAAAATATACCCCCCCCCTCAGAAATCCCCCACTGCAAATCATTGGTTGGTGTTAAAATGCCATAGAAATGAAAAATAGCGCAATGAAATTTCAACGTTGTATCTAGCTGATAAAAATGTTATTTCACACCGAAATGTCAGCTTTGCTTCTATTCTTTTCCTGTTCACGTATTTATGGTTTCTTCTCACTAACTTATGGATTTTTTCTGTTTTATTGTTCGAGGTCAGAGTATTATCGATTTTGATAAACTTGCCAAAATGAATTTAAAGGCAGTAAACAAAGGCAGTCATGGAGGGTGTTATGCTCGGGGTTCTGACGTGCATCATCGAGTCTGTACTGCTTGACAGTGTTAGCTTAGCACTCTGCTTCACAGGCATACTGTGTCTGTACTGCTCAATAGCTTAGCACTCTGCTTCACAGGTATACTGTGTCTGTTCTGCTCAATAGCTTAGGGNAATGAATTTAAAGGCAGTAAACAAAGGCAGTCATGGAGGGTGTTATGCTCGGGGTTCTGACGTGCATCATCGAGTCTGTACTGCTTGACAGTGTTAGCTTAGCACTCTGCTTCACAGGCATACTGTGTCTGTACTGCTCAATAGCTTAGCACTCTGCTTCACAGGTATACTGTGTCTGTTCTGCTCAATAGCTTAGGGCTATGCTTCACAGGTATACTGTGTCTGTTCTGCTCAATAGCTTAGGGTTATGCTTCACAGGTATACTGTGTCTGTTCTGCTCAATAGCTTAGGGTTATGCTTCACAGGTATACTGTGTCTGTTCTGCCCAATAGCTTAGGGCTATGCTTCACAGGCTTACTGTGTCTGTACTGCTCAATAGAGTTAGCTTAGCACTCTGCTTCACAGACACACACTGTCTGTTCTGCTCGATAGCGTTAGCCCAGGCCTCTTATGTACAGATACTTCTGCAGCTACAGAACTGCTCAGAGTTCTGCTGCTGTGCCCTGGGGCAGCGCCGGGCCCAGTTGGGCCACCCTGCTGAGGATTGATGTCCTGTGTATAATGGCTACGATGTGAGCACTAACCTGTTCTGTGTTACACACCTGTCAAGGCGGCCCCGAGTGAAACACACCCATGACCGCTGGCATTAGCGCTAAGCGAGTTGGCAGGCTTCAGACACGCAAGGCTCCTTTCACTGGCAACAAGCGTTTAATCCAACCCTTGTGTCTTTCACAAGAGATCTGTTGAGGAGCTTGTAGTTTGTATTTAGCATTATATAATTGACAATAAAGATGTTCTCGCTGCTCGAAAACACCTTCGGATTCGGCAAAGTGGGAGGGAATTCCTTTTTTTGTTTTTACGGTCTGCTAATTTCCACTAGCATGGCTATGGGAATCATTGTTATGTTAGCATCAGGCATTAGACGAATTAGCATTCCCTTTTATAAATTTACATTACAAATGTATTCTGTTTGGTGTTTTATAGCACTTTTTTAAGTAGGAGGCTGGAAATTTTCCAGCGCAGCCACCTTGGTTTGCTCACGCTTTTACTAGCAGGGTTGTGTCACATGGGTACAGCTCGGTTTGTGGTGGCAGTGCAAAAGCGTCATATGAGCACTTGAACACCACCAGTCCTTTTCTGAAGCGTTTAGATGGCATTCATTACCTCATGGAAATGTTCTGTAAACGTTGCGGGAATGTCCCGGAAGTGGCAGCCCCCCGAGGTTAGCGGTGATGATGCAGGGATGGTTGTGAGGGCTTTGCATGAATAGCTTGTTCCCGGGTGTGAGTGTGGAATGATGAGGCTACAGGGGATTCCTGTCAAATGCTGTCCGCTACACATGCTCTGGATGGATGGATGGATCATGGGCGTAAATTACGAGGTTGTAGCCCCCCCAATAAATCAAAACCAGCTAATACAACCCCCCCCAATAATCATGTTTCCCCCGTAATGGGTGGAGACCTCAACCCCCCCAATGTTCCAGCCAAAGTTACGCCCTTGGGATGGATGGATGGATGGAAACTGGAATCTGTTTCTCTGGTCCTCAGGGTTCCCTGCTCCCTCTCCCTCACGCTTGCACTTCCGACGCTCAGATCTCCACGGAGACGCTTTTCCGTTTCTGTCTGGACATAAGTGTGATTCCTTAGCTGTTTCTGTCTTGTAGCGATTCCGAACGCTGGCCTGTTAATGACTGTTTGGTCCTGGAGAGTCTCTGTCTACATTCTGGCCCCTGAGCGTTTCTCACAGTCTGCAGACGGCTCCTCTCAGTTCCGCCTGAGTCCAGCCCGCATTATGATGCTGTTTATTTCATCCCGCTGCCTTTGTCTGTGATTAATCGCACACTAACGAGGCAGGCCACAGCCCTGACGCGCGACGGTGTGACGTCGTCTAGCGGCTGCCCGTCTGGAGCTGCTATCCATGCTGGTATCTCAGATGTCCTGATGGGTTTTTTTCTCGCCTGATGGATTTTGGCTCTCCTCCGGTTCCCCTTGCAAACCCCCCCCCCCCCCCCCCCCCCAACACATTCTTTTCACTTACCAGCGTTGTGCGATTTTAATATTCTCAGTGATACGCTGAGAC